ATGCTGCAATGGTTGTAAGTGTGAAAAATGGTCTTCAGTCACTTTTTTCAGGGGTGTTGTAACTTTGAACGGTCACTAATTGAACTGCGTAAGTCGAGGACTACCTGTACCTATGCCCGAAAGTGAATGGAGACTTACCCCTCCTTGCTGTTATTATCTCTGACCGCAATCAGACTCTCCAAGTCACGGCTTGTTTAAACATGAAACAAAATCAGTACAAAGATTTCAAGCAGATAGAATTATTTAATTCCTTTAAATATATTTTAACATCTGAATTACAACCCTGGATTTTATCTGCAAGTAGTTATTATTAGCAACACTGGTTTATTTTAATAAAAAGACAAGGTATAAATTTAACAAAAAAGTGTATGTACAACATAGATAATAATAATAATAATAATAATAATAATAATAATAATAATAATAATACAATAATAACAATAACAATAATATAATGGGATGCGGTGGCTCAGTTGCTGAGACACTGAGCTTGCCGATCAGAAAGGTCAGCAGTTCAGCGGTTCGAATCCCTAGCTCTGCGTAACGGAGTGAGCTTGTCCCAGCTTCTGCCAACCTAGCAGTCCGAAAGCATACAAAAATGCAAGTAGAAAAATAGGGACCACTTTGGTGGGAAGGTAACAGTGTTCCGTGCGCCTTCGCATTTAGTCATGCTGTTCACATGACCACGGAGATGTCTTTGGAAAACGCTAGACTAGACTTCCTGTCTCCGGAGCTTCTCTGGAATTTTTTTTCTCCCTTTACTGGTACTTCGCTTGTGTCCTGCCAAAAATTGACATATGTGTAGCCATTTCACTTGGAAACCTGACAGTATGACTTTCTTAAAGGGGAAGGGTTGTTTTAAGCTTTTTACACTGCTATTGGGAGGAAATACTCCCCTGTTGCAGTTAGCACTTTGAAGAAATAATTAGCACTTATTTTTTTTACTGCCTTTCTGGATGTGATCTTTTCTTAAATCTGGATGATTTCTTTAGGATATTTTGTGAGGTGAGTGAGACCAGCTGGTATCTTCAAGTGGTGCAAATGGATCTAAGGATTGCTTCTCCTAGGTGTGCTCTTTCTGGAGAGCTTAAATGGCCTCTCTGCTAAAGGGTTTCACTTTATGAGCAAGAGTTGGCTGCTGATAGTTATCATTGCATTTTAACTATTTTAATTCCTCAAGGTAACTCCGGTTTGCAGGTATTATTAATCTAATGATTTGTATTTAAGGAAGCTGTTTGCAAGTAAAGAAGCTTGTTGTATTTTTGTACAGGTAATCCTTGACTTACAACAGTTCATTTAGTGACCATTCAAAGTTACAATGGCACTGAAAAAAGTGACTTATGATCGTTTTTCACACTTATGACCGTTGCAGCATCCCCACAGTCACGAGAGGTCAGGCAAGGAGAAGCGTCCCTTGATGTGAGTGATGTTGAATTGGCCATGCCCACTCAGTCACATGACCACCAAGCCACGCCCACCAACTAAGTCATGCCCACAGAACCGGTTGTTAAAAAAATTGAATCCCACCCCTGGTTTGACATCCCTGAACTAAAACTATGGCTGCTAAGACCATTCACTTAATTTTGTAACTCAAAGGGAAGGAAATTATTTCTGGTCAAGACCCTGTATGATTAAAACTCATTTGATTTTACACAACTCATAGGTACAATAACAGCACCTTCTAACATGTTTGACTACACATTCCCTATCTAATTTCCACTACTATTTGTAATCTCAGGAAGAATGTAATTCATGGCTGCTAGGAGGAACTTCCTTTACTGGATCAAACCAGAGGCCACACTTGTTCTGATAAGAGGAAATACCCACACACACAAACTGTAGCAGTAAACATTAAATTATCTCATTTCATCCTCAGAAAAATTCCAGATAGGATACACAGCTCACCTAACTAGTCGTTACACTGAGATGACATGTCAAGAAAATAAACTGTGATTCCTATCTTCTTGTTCTCTCCACAGTGGCATGCAGGTAGTCCTCAAGTTACGACCACAAATGAGCCCAAAATTTATGTCACTAAGTGAAACATTTCAGTGATTTTACTCCATTTTATGACCTTTCTTGCCACTGTTGTTAAATGAATCGTTGCATTTGTTAAAGTTAGTATCATGGTTGTTAAGTGAATCTGGATTCCCCATTGCTTGTCAGAGGGTCGCAAAAGTTGATCACATGACCCGAGGATACTGTAACCGTCATAAATGTGAACTAGTTGCCAAGCACCTGAATTTTGATCAAGAATGAAGATGTTGCAATGGTCGTAAGTGTGAAAAAAGGTCATAAGTCACTTTTTTCAGTGCCAATGTAACGTTGACCAGTCACTAAATGAACTGTTGTAAATCAAGGATTACCTGTATAAGCAATGCAGTATGTTATATTAGCATAAAAGTCACTGGACCATATGTACTTATTTAACAAAAGAGATTTTTTTATAATGTTAAAATATTTTTCTGAGATAAAACTTATAAAATTTATCCAAATCTGAGGAAAGCAAATAAGCTGTAACAAAACTTAAAAGCTCAGTCTGAAAAAAGTTACAATTCTCTACCAAATCAGGTACATCCCCAGCTGATGTATGCATACCTCTTGTTTATCCTGCTGTCTAAGACAGGTGAGGTGTTTGCCTCACCAGTATCGCTTCCGCCAGGAATCCTAAACAGCAAAGATAGTTTCTCATTAGGTATAAACTAGTTTGTTTTTAAATTAAAAGGTTACTAGCTTTTAAAATGTAAACAGTAGCTTTAAAATTAAAATCTAGTACCGGTTTTTCCTTGGAATAAAAAAGCATTAGCTTTGTCATGCAATTCTCCAGTGACCATCAGAACAGCACTTAGGAAAAAAAATTCTATAGTAATGTAGTAAAATATTATTTTATCAATTGAATTTATTATTTTCCTTGAATTAATGTTCCATGGCAATAAAATTAAAATATTCTACCAACGCCTTTAACAAACAAACAAAGTGATCCTTGCAATTAAAGTGATCCCTTACCACTTCAAATGTTCCCTTAATCATCATACATAATGGATTGGGAAGTTTACTGTACTGCAACCTAAAGACACCCATCATAGACAATTCCATTTAAAATACAGTCATTACACTGAATCAAAGAGGAAGTTATGTTTAACACCTATTTCTTTTAAGCCAACAAAATTACACCAAAAACAAAACATAAGCCCTTTCCTGGCATGTGTTTGCAGTTGACTTAAGTGTGGTCAGGGAACTAACCCGATTTCCTGCATTCCAGTGGTGGGATTCAAACTTTTTTTACTACCGGTTCGGTGCACGTGGCGTGATGGGCGTGGCATGGCTTGGTGGGCATGGCTTGGTGGGCGTGACGGGGAAGGATACTGTAAAATCTCCATTCCCTTCCCACTCCAGGGGAAGGGTACTGTAAAATCCCCATTTTCTCCCCACCCCACTAACCTGCTTTCCAGCTCTGTTCTCCTGTGCAGGGCAACAAAAGAAGGCCCAGCCGATCAGCTGGGGCTTGGGAAGCAGAGAACAGATGGGGGCGGGGCCAGTCAGAGGTGGTATTTGCCGGTTCTCTGAACTACTCAAAATTTCTGCTACCAGTTCTCCAGAACTGGTCAGAACCTGCTGAATACCACTCTGTTGCATTCCAATGACATTCAAACACAAACCAAGCATCCTTACAGCTAAAATGGCTGTTGTTGGTTTGGCTATTGGTCTCTGACTGAGTGAAGAGAATGTAGCTGGTTCCTGGACTTCTGAGCCCAGAAGCCAGAAAGGGGCCCTTCAAATTGCATTTGCCTTGTGCACACAGAGTTGCTATTGTGCAGTCACAACAGCACTTGAATTGTCTGCACTGAGGGGATTGTGAGAAGCCCTGGACTTGGAGATGGGCACAGCAGGAGTTCTCCAGCACCACTCATAGAAAATGAACGACCTGTCTCTGACCTTTTGGGAACCACAGCAATGGCATGGCTACATATATTAGAAAGAATACGGAGTACCGAGAACACCTCCTTATTGTCAGTCTCTACAAACAACAATATATATGAAGTAGTTTCCAAACTAGGCGATCTAATAATAGTGAACATCTATTAATCACCTCTGACATCCTGGCCACAACATGTCCTGAACATCATGCCCCAACAAACAATCTGCACAGGTGACTTCAATAACCATCATGTTAATTGGAAATGCCATTCCACTGACGACAACAGTGAATAATTGTCCAGCTGGGGAGTAGCAAAGTACAACTGATTTTCAATGCTAAAGATAGGGGCATGTTTAAATCAGTGGAATGGAACTGTGAAACCAATCCAGACTTTGCCCAACTTGCAGCCAGTTCCCATAAACAGGAAAGTAATGGAATAGAAAACCTACACAACAAACACCCAATGTAATTGCCAACCAAACAGCTTCTCGAGTTGTATCTCTCTCCAAAACACCAAAGGTGAAAGAACACTTTCATCGAGAAAGTGCTTTCAGCTTTTTAGCAGTCAGGCTGAATGCGTTCTGAGTACTCTTGTCCAGAGGTGATATTCAGCAGGTTCTGGCCAGTTCTGAAGAACCGGTAGTGGAATATATTTTTTTTAAGACAAATTTTATTAGTTTTACAAAACAATACACAAACAAACAAGGCATAATAACATAAAAGATCTTTTCTGAAAAAACCAATAGAACATACAAAATAGTTCCAAATTGTAATATATATATTTACGTTATCTGTTCAACTTCGTATCTTATCCCAACTTCTCCTTTTCATTCTATTATCCAAATTATATTTCTTACTAATTAAAATTTTATTGCTTTTCAAAAACAATACACAAACAAACAAAACATAGAACATAAAAACATAAAACATCTTTTCTGAAAGTTGCTTGATCCCGGGTTAAAACTCTTCGCACAGACACAAATTCAAAAATCATATTCACTTTATATACCATTCCATATCTTATTACCATTTTCAATTTTCTATATAGCTTCTTCCCTCTTTTATCTTTCTTAATTTTATTTTATTTATCTCATCTCAGTTCGATTCATAATACTTATCATTCTTTGTCTGTTCTATTTCCAGCTATCCATTCATCTTTTCTCTTTAAACAAATTTCTCCTGCACACTTATTGGAGTGAGGCCTTTAACTCTTTCCCCTAGCTTAATAATACTTAATATAACACTTAACTTATATTGGGATTCTGTTTAGTACATTCTAAAATTACACAATGAGTTTTATGAGAAAGGAAAAAACACAACAATAACAAAGAAAAAGCATATAAAACCACTATCAATGCCATTAAGAAACTAATCATACATATTAATACTCCTTTATATCTTAAGCATTTTATTCTAAATACACATATAAAAGCACAATCTTATGTACCTTACAGAATCCCTTTTTTCAATTAAATTTACCCATTGTCTCTAAATAAGTTTTGTTTCTTTAAATCTTGCTTCCCACCATTAAGGCTTCTCATCCCCTCCTTTCTCTCTTGCTTATTCTTCTCCTTGCCCTTTTTACCCCTTTGTCTCTCCTCCTCCCTTTTCTTCTTCTGCTTTCCCCCTTTCTGTTGTTTTCTAACCTTGTATCCACCTTTCACCTCATTTTTCTCTTTTTTGGTTGTTTTTTCAAGCCTTAAAATCCCCTTTTTCTTTTCCTTTTTCTCCTCCTCCCCAAATAGAACCATTTGTTCATCAAAGATGGCTTCTTCTTTGTCCCAATCGTCCTGCTGCACAGTCAATTTTTCATAAGTGCATACCGCCATTTCTAGAAATTGAAAAAGAGTGCCCAAAGTATCTTTTCTATCTTGTTCTTCTTTTTTATATTTTTGATATTCAATTTTTAGTTCATCCACAAGCAAAGCCATCGTGAAGAGAAAAGTTTTTTCCAAGACAACCACCCAAGTGTTTTTAATCAAGAATAATTCCCAAAAGTTCCAAAGTCACCAAAGAATCCAAATAAACTATTTCTTTTAATACTTTTTTCTTTCTTCCATTTCTCTTTCTGGGGTTGCTGTTGATCAAAGAGTTCCAATTAAGATATATCTTTTAGAAGCCATATTAATATTCAAAGCTCTTTAAAATTCTAGGCAATCTCCTCCTTTTTCAAAATCTGCTCCAATTTTTTTTCCTCTCCCTTCCCTCTTACAGCAACAATTTTCCTTTGAATGTTCAGAAATCCATACCTCCAATGCGGGTTTTCCGATTTCTTTTAAGATTCTATCGCTGTCACGTTCAGAAGGAGAGTGAAAAAAAAAAAAAAAGCTTTTCCTTTAATTTACATTCGCCGCTTGACACATTCTGGAAACGATGTTTCTTTAGCAAGTTTCAAATTCCAGGATACTTTCACTGTTACTTGTCCCGGTCAGCAAAGATCACTTTCAATTCTTCACAGCTCCTCCTGCACTTTCTTTTTCCGGCTGAGCTCTTCTATGTGGCGGCCATTGCTGACCGCCGCTCAGCTGCCTTTGGAAAAGGGGGTTTCGCTGGCTAGGGAAGAGAGGTGCGATATCTCTCGACCCTGCCAGACCCCCCCCCGTCTTCGCCACCTTCTATGGAGGTGGCTTAGCCCCGAAGCCAAATGGCTCGGGGCACTCGGGCAGTGAACACAGGCAGAAACCACGCACAGTCGCGGATTCCTGCCTGCTCCGAAGCGCTGCAGACCGGAAATCCCCCGGTAGTGGAAATTTTGAGTAGTTCGGAGAACCGGCCAATACCACCTCTGACTGGAGATTTTACAGTATCCTTCCCCTGCCACGCCCACCAAGCCACACCCACAGAACCAGTAGTAAAAAAATTTGAATCCCACCACTGCTCTTTTCTCTTTAAAGGAAATTGACACTGGTATTTATAATCTGGAATGTGGTAAAGCACCAGGATTTAATGGCATTCATCTAGAAGTCCTGATAAATTCCGGGAGGTAAACATGGAATTGGATTGGTAAATTCCTCTCAGATGTAGAGACTAAACTCTTTTGGACCATATTCCTACCAAGTGAACTAATTCTTTTCACAATATTTTTTTCATTAAGTAATTGAAACGAGATAGCGTTTTTCTATATTAAACTGGTCTTGATTTTAACAACTGTATCTTTGGTATACTACACATGTTGATTTTGTTTTTTAAAAAAAGGTATCCTAGAACCGAGAACTGCATCACAATACTTAGGAAAATACAAAATACAGAAGACAGCTAAACTGTAGCCCAAGCTCTGGTCTGAGAAATATAGAACTGATAATTTTATAGCATAATTTTGAGTTAATTAATTTTTTCAGACAATCTTAGATGCGAAACTTCAATCTGTAGAAGCCAAAAACCCGCCGTGGCATTTACTACCAAGTTTTATATTCCACCTATCTTTCAAATTGCTGTGAGGATTGTGAGTCTTGACAACAACAACATTCAAAATTAGCTTAGACTAATTTAAGGGTGTCAGATCTGTGATGCAAAACAAGACAATTATTGTATATAGTAGGAGCAGAGAGTTAAAGCTTTCTCTACACCTCTTTGCTGCTGTCTAGTCTTTCCAAACCAACAAGTGAATTGAATCTGCAATCCTCTTTTTATCTGGCCTGTTTCATAAAACATACTAGCTTAAGTCACTTTTGAGTACACACCTATATTGGATTGAATTGCAGATGAGCTTAAAACTTAGCAGAGAGATTTAATTCAAATATAAAACTCTGTTACATCATAGTCATAAAATGCAAAAGAAACACTTAAATTAATAAAGCTTTTTAACCTGAATAAATTTGCTTTCATCCAGATTGCATATTACTGTACAAAAGCAAAACAAAACAAGTATAAATTAAATTTTTACCTGTCTAAAGTATTATCAGATCTGTATCGATTAAGCATAGCTTTCTCATTCTTCTCCCCTTCTAGGTTCCTATTATTAAGAAAGGAAGATTAATTCATGATAGTTAATAATTATTATTAATTAGTTACCGTTCTCACAGAGGTGTGACATTTACCAGCTGTTCAGTCTATATAAAATTATCTTTGGAACTATGGAATAAACGAAAGTATGACAGCATCTCTGCTAATAGTATAATTAATAAAATATTGTTAATAATAATATTTTCTTTATTAAATGACACACATTTAATATTATAAAATTATCTTCATAATTAAATATGCTATAAATGAGAAAAGTGTAATAAGCTTTTGTTATTTATGTCTAAATCATATCAATTTCAATTAATCTATGTTGAATCGGTCATAGTAACTAATTTCCAGCTGAGATTTCAGCATTCTCAAATTTGTTATTTGCAACATTTTTACAGATTATCTCCATCACAAGTGACAGAAATTGCCTAAATCCAATTATACAAAATTAGGAACATAGAAAATACAAAGGTGATGGCAGAAAAAGACTTAATGGTCCATCAAGTCTTCCCTTTTAGTTTATTTGGGCTTTTTAAAATTAATTATTAATTATTTATTATTATTATATTTTATTAATTTTTATTTTATGTTTTTATTTTAGTTTTTTGTTGCATGATGGACATGTGTTTATCCCAAGCATGTTTAAACCATATAACTAATACTTTTATCCTTAAAATATATAAAAGCACTTCTTTCCATAATTTGATTCTATGTTGTATATGAAAACAAAAATAAGGTAAAATCATTTTCCATTATGGTTACCATATTTGAGCTGAAAAAGTTATTTTCTGAATGGCCAGAAATGGAAACAAGGAATTTGTGTTTCCTGATCTGTCTTCTATTGGTCATCCAAACATTTGAAGCCCAGAAATGGCAGCCATAATATATTTAATTATGTCAACACCAGCAATATCAGATCTCAATTGAATGAATAAACTATTCAAGAGACAGGAAGTACTATTTTTTCCTGTCCTACATACGTCATCATAAAAGGAGATGCCATTTTTATTGCAAATTCAATGCTAATTATTTCCTCTTGAAAAATGCTCTAAAAAGGTTGGTTGGATCAACTTCATTTTTAAAATTACATAGTGCAGTTATTATTAATTAAGCTACTCATAGGGCTGACTATCAAAATGTCTCATATCATGAATTAATGGGTACGTCAGACTTCATGATTATTTTAAACAATGAAGAAATTACTGCATTACAATCAAGTAACAGAAAATGCCAGTGTCTGAATTAAACCAAAGGCCTGACTTTGCTCAATTAATACATTAGGTTCTTACCACAAATTATTAACTGTACAATGAATTGCAACATTGCAGATGAAATGGGCATAGGAAAGAATATATATACATTTAAATGATACCGTACCTGTGCAAGCTATCTTGTGATTTATACTGATTAAGAACAACTCTGCCATAGTTTTCATTGGTGCTGCAATAAACAAAAATTAGATATCACCCATATAGTACACGCAGTCCTTTATTTACAACCACAATTGGACTAGAAAATTCATTGTTCACTGGTGTGTTTGTTAAGTGGGGCATCATGTGACTGCACCTGATTTTATGACCATGATCATTAAGTGAGACATCACATGATCATGAATTTTTTTTCCCATTGAGCTTTTTTATTGGAAATTGGGTGGAATGGCTGCAAGTGACAATCTTGTGTGACCTCGGACACTGGCACTGTCAGAAATACTTGCTAGTTGCCAATGCTTGAATCACAGTCATGTGATTGACCACAGGAACGATGTGACATTCTAAGTCACTCAATACAGTCTTAACTTTGAATGGTTGCTAAATGAATGTTCTTAAGTTAAGGACTCTCTATAAACCAGACTATACATCATAGCAAAAGCTTAAGACACTGGATTTTTTTAAGCTGTAAGTTTCAATGACACTTTGAATAACGCAATATCAGAGATGTATTCAGCAGGTTCTGTCCCGTTCTGAAGAACCGATAGCAGAAATTTTGGGTGGTTCAGAGAACTGGCAAATGCTACCTTTGACTGGCCCCGCCTCCAACTATTCCCTGCCTCCCAAGTCCCAGCTGATTGGCTGGGTCTTCTTTTCTTGCCCTGCACAGGAGAACAGAGCTGGAAAGCAGGTTAGTGGGGTGGGGAGGGAATGGAGATTTTGCAGTATCCTTCCCCTGCCATGCCTACCAAGCCCCGCCTCGCCATGCCATGCCCACAGAACAGTAGTAAAAAAATTTGAATCCTACCACTGCACAATATGCTTTAGTTATTTTAAAGTGGATAAAAAGTAAGAGGAGAAAATGGAAAGTATCCAAACCGCAAGCTCACTGCAATTCAATTCTGTCCAAATAAATCCTGCATCTTCATGACGTCCAAAGGGAACGAACACTTTAAATCCAGAACTGAGCAACTTCTGAATCTAGGATGGTATGTTTTTCAAACTCTTAGGTTGCTTTCAAACTAATCTCACACATTATTTCCAAAGAAGAACTTCAAACTTTTAGTGAAAGTAACCCATCCCTTCCTTGAGAACCTATTATATCAAGAAATAGGAAAGGGAAAATCCCAAATGCGTATACCGTAAGACTCATACACTACACTACTAGACTTGTTGAATGTTGAACTAGACTTACAGCTCACTCTCTCGCCATAGATTATTTAAGCTTTAATAACCCCTGATTTAGTCATTTAGTATTAGATAATAGATCCTTCCATGCTATGTAGCATACCAGCCAGCATATTGATATGCTATGTGGCATATTGGGCAGCTTTAGTCAATTACATTAAATGTTTTCATACCAGAGAAGCCTTGGGACCTAGTTTTATGTAATGAAGGATGCTGCATGACCTAAATATTGCAGAGAATTTTAGGAAATGGTACTATGTCAAATTGTCTCACGGCATTTAGATCCCGCAAACAAGAATATACATTGGATACCACATTGCATCAGAAACATAGATCTACAACTTTTGATTAATTTGATTTTAGGTTGTTTTTCACATGAAGAAACATGAATTTTTTGAGACACTAAGATTCACTGCAACAAACTCTGAAAACCATCAAATTAAATTAAACATTTTGTGTTACAACATTTGTATATCACCCATAATCAGTATGGGAGAATGAATAAATGCATTCCAAAACTCCTCTTTAATTATTTAGTCATAACTATTGCATCATCTAGAGTGAAGTTATGAAGTTTCCAAGGTTTGTAAGATGCTATACACAAAAAATTCTATGAAGTAGTACTATACATTGAATCTTTTCAGCTGCCTACATTTAATTTAAACCACTTCTTCAATACTCATTTTCTTTTGTCTTCTATTTTGTACCTTGCAGATCACTATGGCTCCATTTCTGCAACACGCTAATCCCTTAATTAGTGAATAAATCTAATTTGCACAGTACATTGAACCATCAATTTGCTACACTGGCTCAATGGCACAAAAAATGAATCCCCAAATGATAAATCACATTTTACTGTTACCCTTTCGGAGCCTTTCTCTATTACCAAATTGTATTACTCTGGGGATCATCTGTCTCCAATTCAGAGGTGGTATTCAGCAGGTTCTGACCAGTTCTGGAGAACCAGTAGCAGAAATTTTGAGCAGTTTGGAGAACTGGCAAATACCACCTTTGACTGGCCCTGCCCCCATCTATTCTCTGCCTCCTGAGCCCCAGCTGATCGGCTGGGGCTTCTTTTGTTGCCCTGCATAGGAGAACAGAGCTGGAAAGCAGGTGAGTGGGGTGGGGAGGGAATGGAGATTTCACAGTATCCTTGCCCTGTCATGCTCACCAAGCCACGCCCACCAAGCCACGCCATGCCCACCAAGCCACATCCACAGAACTGGTAGTAAAAAATATTGAATCCCACCACTGCCCCAATTGTTTCTACCCACTCCATCCAATCTGGGAGGAAGGGAATGCTCCAGGTACCATTGACTAAGAAGTGTCAATTTGGTAGGGCCCAGGAGGAGAGACTTTACTGCTATGACACCCATCCTTTGGAACATCATTCCACCCAAGATTAGATTAGTCCTGTTCCTGTTGGCATTTTCTAAGGCCTTGATGACTTCATGTTAAAGCTGGTGCCCTAGGCATGGGATAGAGCCATCTCCTGGTTGTGTGGATGATTTATTAAATTGCACCTGGATGTTACAGTATGTGCTTTACTTCTATTTGGTTTTTTTTATACTGTCTTATTTTAGATATTTTATTTGTTTATTGTAAGCAACCTACAATCACATAAAGTGAGAAGGACAGCTATATAAATCAATCAATAACAGGATAACAGAGTTGGAAGGGACCTTGGAGGTCCTCTAGTCCAACCTCCCCCTCAAGCAGGAGACCCTATATCATTGCAAACGTGGCTATGTTGGAATTCATTGTTGGAATGTTTTTTCATGCAACAACTACAGTAGTATTCATCCAGTAGATAGCAGTGTTTACAAGTTTGGATCTATGGTATATATACTCTATGCTCTTTTGTTGTAAATAGAGATTCCTGTTTCCTGTTACAGTTAAAACAGTTGAGCAGTAAAGCACATGGTGACTGTACTCTTTGTTTGTTCTGTGGTGCTATATATAAACAGAATTTCTAACAAGCTGTCCAGTCTCTTCTTAAAAGCCTCCAGTAGTTCTCTGTTCAGTAGTTCTCTGTTCAATTTACAGTCAGCAGAAAACAATATCGGCATGAAATTGGTTGTCCCACTTCTCAATTCTTATGCTACTCTCCTGCCTCTGCACTCAGTCATTTCTCCAGCTCCATGACTTTTCTTCAAGAGAGAGAAGGCCTAACAGATTTTCTAGACTCTGCTCTTGAAAAGTGTCAGAATAGGAAGAGATATTGTTTTAGCAGCAGTTAACTAAGAAGTTAAGCCAGGAGAGGGACTCATGACTGACTCCCTCATGGGCTCAGGACAAGAAAAGACAGCTTCATGGAAACACAGCAGAAAAATATGACTGCTATGCTGTTTATGCAGGGAATAAATGCAAGTGGGGGGTGGCTTCAGGTATGTAAATTACAAGTTACAAATACCCGCTTGAAAAATATTTACTGTATTTAGAAAACCAAACTGAAAAAGTTCAGCTGACTTTAATGAAAACAAGTCAATCACCTCCATGGATTTTACATAAGGATTCTAGAACAGGGGTCTCCAACCTTGGCCACTTTAAGACTTGTGGACTTTAACTCCCAGAATTCGCTGAGGAATACTGGGAGTTGAAGTCCACAAGTCTTAAAGTGGCCAAGGTCGGAGACCCCTGTTCTAGAAGAAATTGCAAGGCCTGACCATATTGCCAAAAAGCCAGTGGGTTCTTTCCTTACCTTTCCTCCTCAGGCCTTTTCTTTATCCAGCTATTGTCTTGCAAAAGGGTTCTTCGCTTGTTGACCTCATTAATAGCTTTCTGTCTGCTCTTCATCGCAAGGGAAGCATTCTTAGAATCTGGAAATATATCAGCAGTATATCAGACAGTACGTAGTACAATGTAATTAAATCGTTTTGGAACACCACAGAGTTTAGTTGCCCCAGGAATCATTCCTCCAATCTCTGAGTTGGCAGAAAACTGTGCCAACTTAAGTTTTCATGCCTCAACTGTCAAGTTCAATTCTGTCTCAGGAATGATGTCAGAACAGGGGTGTGTGTGTGTGTGTGTGTGTGTGTGTGTGTAAAGTTGATTGTTTTTATATGTTAAGGACAGCATTTGTGAATTCTTCTGGTTTTGTTCCAACTTTACTGAACTTTGCCTGCTGGTGGGAAAAACATCAATTGTGTGATGGGAGACAACAGGTGGGTATAAAAGGGAGCTTGGGATAGAGGGCTTAACCATCTTTCAAGTTGCCAAATGACATGTGGTTGCATCTCAATGCAAGTCTGGATAGAATGCCAAGCCTCTATCTGTAACTTATGCTTTCTTCCAGAATTGTTTTTAGCTTCCTGGTATAGCCTACAACACTAGCTACCCATCAAACTATTAATTTAAAATATTTGCTTAGCTTGGCTGCTTAGCTTCTAAATGTAGAAAATGTCAGCCTGGTTATTAGTTTTCAATATATTTATTTCTTCATTGTTCCTCTTCTCAAACTCTTACACAGTGCAACATTTCTGCATGTCTATTTAAAAGTAAACCGTTCTGAAGTTACAGTGGAACCTCTGGTCACGAATGCTTCTGACCACGACCAAATTGGGTTCCAACCAAAAAATCCACAACATTTTTTAATCGGGTCATGATTTAAAAATCGGGTGGCAATCAAACATAGCTGTGTCCCTTTCTACATCCATTTCCCCTTCTGCGCCATTTTTGTTTTGTAGGGGCATGCGTAATCAGTCTCACTTCTGGTCACGACCAAATCGAGTTGTGACCAAAGTTATGGAAAGAATTATGGTCATGACTGGAGGTTCCACTGTATTTATTATTACATGCCACCCATCTCACTCTGAAAAGTGACTAATTTGATAGAAGAAAGTTCCAAATTAGCTTGTGCAAGAATGTAGCCAGATACATTATTTGAAATGTGTCCAAGATACAGTACATTTTGGCAGCTATGTACACTTCTGCTGTTGTAAAGAACACATAATTACTGAATTGAACTGGAATTGGAGAGTCTGCCTGTAATTTGCAATTCAACTTTGTATCTGTTGATTTTCTTGACTGTTATTTGCTGCTTCATTATTTCCAGTGCTTCCTTGATCTCAGGGGTGGGATTCAAATTTTTTAACAACCAGTTCTGTGGGCGTGGCTAAGTTGGTGGGCATGGCTTGGTGGTCATGTTATTGGCTGGGCGTGGCCAACTCAGTATCACTCACATCGAGGCACGCATCTCCTCACCTGGCTTCTCAAGACTGTGGGGATGCTGCAACAGTCGTAAGTGTGAAAAATGGTCATAAGTCACTTTTTTCAGTGCCATTGTCACTTTGAATGGTCACTCCACACAAGCAAAGTACCAGCAAAGGAGGGCAAAAAAAACTCCAGAGAAGTTCCAGAGACAGGAAGTCTAGTCCTGCCAAGAATTTAATAAGGGTTAACGGAGAGGCAGTTTCTGTAAGCAACACCAGAATGTTTCCTTCCTGCCTTCCTTACAGGATTAGATCGGTAATTTCTTCTAACAACCAGTTCTCCAAACTGCTTAGAATGTTAACAACCGGAATCCCACCCCTGCTTGATCTTCCTTGTTTCTAAGAGACATTTTTTGATCAGGTATTCTTTGGTCCTTTTCATCTTTAGCTTCTTTTCTTTCATCTCTTCTTGCTTGCTTGCATGTGATCTCAGCTTGCTGGTCCTGATCTTCCTTTTGATGATGCATTGTTTGGCTTTTTTTCTTTGTTGATTTTGCAACCCAAGTATTTGGTTAGATTTGCAACTGCTATACATTAGTTGGTTTGTATCTTGCGGTGAGGTGGTACTTTTATTTCATATTATAGTATTTGTATCTTTTAATATTTGTGTTAGCATCAAGCTGCTAGTTGATCACAATGTTTAACAGCTGCTAAACATGTGGCTAAAATAACTTTTATAGCTTAAAAGTCATGAAAGAAGTTTAATCAATGCATTTGCAATTAAACCGCATATTTTCTTCTTAATACAGGAAAACACCAATCTACCCTACACACATGCATGCATACACATGAACATAACCACACTTTTGCATATCATTGCAAGGCATTTCAGTCTCAGTTCTTCATATTTACTTTTTGTGATCAATCAGTGCAATTGAAACAAAACTGAAAGATTACCATTTTTGATATGCGATGGTTTTCCTACAGTGAATGTTGACATTTTATTCAGGGCTATATCCAGTTTGTCCTAAAATAAAGTAAAACACAAAAAATAAGTGGTCAAAAAACAGAAAATGGCATCAGAATGCATCCTTTTCCTGCACTATTCACATACAAAAATTTTGCTGGATCAGATGAAATACAAACTGGTTTCTGTTCCCATAGTGGCCAGCCATTATATTTAATCAGGATATGAACCCAAAAATTTCCTTTAATGCTCTTGCAACTAGTGCTCATTGAATTTTGCCTCTGAGCCTGGAAAGAGCATAGCCAAAATGACTTGTTGACCTCATTAATAGCTTATACTGTGATAGTGAGCCAAGACCTGCAACATGCCTATAATTTTAGAAGTGCCCACTCAAAAATGAAAAGTTCTTTAAGAAAATTTGTAAGCGCCCATTCTTATTAAGATTATGACTGTGGTAATATCACCACACCACATCCAGCTCGTTTAGTCATTGTACTCTGATCAGCACTGCAGCCATTGTAAGAATGGCATATGGAGACACAAAATGGTTCAATACTGAAAAAGGCACTCAACAAGGTTGCATCCTATCACCTATACTATTCAACGTGTACACAGAAATAATTATGAGAAATGTGCGTTTGGAGGAATCTACCATTGGGATAAAAATTGGTGGTAGGAATATCAACAGCCACCAAGATGCTGATAATACAACATTACTTGCAGAAAGTAAGGAGGATTTCTACTGGTTAATCCTGAGAATAAAAGATGAAAGTGAAAAATGTGGACTGCACTTTAATATCAAGAAAACACAGATAACGACAACTGCAGGAAACACACAGGTCAGAATGCAGATTGACAATGAGACCATTGAAACAATAAAAGAATTCTGGAAGAGTAAAGATATCAGCCTCACAACCAAATGCAGATTAGTTAATGCAATAATTTGTCCAACTGCTACTTATGGATGTGAAATTCGGACTCTGAAAAAGGCAGATAGGAGAACCACCTTTGAACTGTGGTGCTGGAGCAAACTACTCTGCATTCCATGGACTGCATAAATAACAAAGAAGTCCTAGAACAAACCTCACCAAAAATATCACTTGAAGCCTAGATTGCCAGAGGCTGTCATACTTTGGTCATGTCACACGAGCTGACTCACTCAAAAAGTCAACCAAGCTCGAAGTGATCAGCAGAAAAAGGAGAAGAGGATGTCCTAGCACCTGCTGGCTGAAAACTATAAAAGATGACACTGGGATGACTATGGTGGATCTGAAGAAGGTGGTGCGAGGCAGAGGGGCATAGAGAGTGCTTATCCATAGAGTGGCCAAGGACACAACTGAATGACTGGCAATGATAATGACGACTGGGGAAGTTCAGGGAAGTGGGCATTTCCTAAATTTAACCTCCTTACCTTCTCTATTAACTATCCTGGTAAATGCTTGTACTAAGAATGATATTGTTCAGTTTCTAAGTTTTATCTCAGTCAAGGCTCAACTGATGCACAATCGCAATAGTACACAGAGTAACAATCCCATTTTTTCCCTTGAAGAATCTGAATGAACAAATCATGAGGAAACCATATGGTCTAGAGCAGTGGCCCCCAACCTTTTTTGAACCAGGGACCGGTTTCACGATTATTTATTCTTCCACGGACCGGTACCTGAGTAACGCGAGACACCACCGCCATCGGGACGGCTCTTCGTTTGAAGCCGCCCCCCCTTCTTCGATGAAACTAAGGCGCGAGCACCCAAACACCACTTTCCAACTGAAAACCCGGAAGCGCCGTCGAAACAAGATGGCGGCGCCCAAGCTTTGCGGCCCGGTAAAAAATGATCCACGGACCGGTACCGGTCCAGGGACCGGTGGTTGGGGACCCCTGGTCTAGAGCCTCTAGACTCCAGAAATACATGCCCATTGGTAGCTCACCTGAATAAAGTGCAATTCAGAATTAGATTTACAGTAGCTTGAGTAGTAATTGCATGAATGTACATGTGAAGAGAGGAGGAAGTTTTATTTGAAAAAGGTGATTTATTATTTATTTATTTCATGAAATACCTCTTTTGAAAACTTTACATAGAATAAACTTGCATATTTCACTGTTCTTGCTTTTCCACAAGTGAATGTTTCCAGTCAAAGAGCCAATGTAACATAATGGCTAAAAGTATGGATTTAGACCAGGGGTCTTCAAACTTGACAGCTTTAAGACTTGTGGACTCCAACTCCCAGAATCCCTCCTCCAGTCATATTAGCTCAGGAATTAGAGCCATCTACAAACTAACCTCAGCTATGGAAGTTTAGTGTAGAAAACAAGGAAGGTGATCTGCAAACTTCATTACCAAGGCAACAAATTTTTAAAGTCTGGAATGTCCAAATAATATTAGGACAATGCTGAAGACTCGCTGATTCACAGGCGTATAAGAGGGGACAGGAACAACCCATTGAGATTTGCAGAATTCTGTTATTATGGTCACCCTCAACAAAAGTAGATTTAGTCTTCCTGTGGAATTGATTTCTTGTTTTAGTCTAGATACTGAGGATGACATTGATTGGTTTGGTTTCTCTCAACCCAGCCTACCTCCCGGGGTGTTTTATGATGAAAACTTTGAAACAGCACATAAATTGCCTTACCTGCCATGGAGATAAACTGAAATTTAATCCATAAAAGGTGTCATAACTTAAAAGAAAATCCATCTTTTATGGATTAAATTTAAATTTATCTCCATGAGAAAGTATAGAAAACACAGAGAACTGTTCATGAAAAATATAGCAAGCTCCAAAGGATCAATTGCTCACAAAATTATTCTATTGTAAGTTCAAGCAAGAAAAATGCCTTTAGTAGGTTTTCCTCCCAAATTTCTGCTTACGCCACTTTCATTTGGATTCTGTTGAGAAACACCCTTTTGTTCCCATTTTTCACTAGTGGGACTAAAACATTGTTTAAATGTACTACCTGCAAATGTTTGGAATGTGATATACAAATGTAAGTAAAGTCAAATTAAAAGTCAGTCATTAATTTCTACACTTTTGATTTTAAAAGCATCAAATAAGCCTATGAATATTTCTCTGCACTACCTGCAGGCATGTCCCAAGTCAGTTTGTTTGTTCCAACTCTAGCCGTAGAGGAAAAAGTCAATATCGGGTAGAAATGAAATATTATTCCCTCAGCAGCTGAGAGAAATATCACCAGTAAACCAACAGCAACAATGTTAAAGGAGATTCCAGCAGCATCCCAGAAATATTAATGAGCTTTGGTGGCACAATGGTTAGAATACAGTATTGCAAGCTAATTCTGCTGACTGCCGATTGCCAGCAGTTCGAGTCTCACTGGCTCAGCTTTCCATCCTTCCGAGCAGAGGTGGTATTCAGCCAGTTCTGACAGGTTCTGGAGAACCGGTAGTGGAAATTTTGAGTAGTTCGGAGAAGCGGTAAATACCACCTCTGCTTGGCCCCACCCCCATCTATTCACTGCCTCCCAAGTCCCAGCTGATCTGCTGGATCTTCTTTTGTTGCCCTGCACAGGAGAATGGAGCTGGAAAGCAGGTTAGTGGGATGGGGAGGGAATGGGATTTTGCAATAATCTTCCCCCAGAAGTGGGATGGAAATGGAGATTTTACAGTATCCTTACCCTGCCCATGCCCACCAAGCCACGCCCACCAAGCCACACCACACCCACGAAGCCACATGACGCCCACCAAGACATGCCCACAGAACTGGTAGTAAAAAAAATTGAATACCACCACTGCTTCCGAGGTTGGTAAAACAAGGACCCAGATTGTTGGGGGCAATATGCTGACTCTGCAAACCACTTTGAGAGGACTGTAAAGAACTGTGAAGCAGTATATAAGTCTAAGTGCTATTGCTATTTAAAAATTTGACAACTTTTCATTTTAAGGATGAAAATGACTGTGAGGCACAATCAGAAAAACTTGGTGGTGCTGTGCTGACTTCAAATGCGTTTACATACAACTTAGAATTTAGCTCGCTGATCATAGAATGAACAAACATATTTATCCTTTCCATTTATATCTTATTACAAAACCATTCATTCACATACTTTTATCAGAAGAACATGGAACTTGTAAGCTTCATTTCTAACTCGGCGCAATTGCTCAAGGAATAGAGTATAATGTAAGAAAATGTGAAGAAAAAAAATACAACCTGCTAAGCATTCTGCCAATGCAGGGCATTTCCTTAGAACAACAGTTCAAACAAGCTTTTGAAGTTTGGATGTTATTGTTTAAGGCCTTTCCTCACTGCTGAACTGCAGAAAATAATGTGGGTATGAAATAATGTGGGTATGTCCCCGATCTTGATTACCTTTTGTTCCTTCCTCTATCTTGATTACCTCCTTAGTCTAAAACCAGTGGTGGGATTCAAATTTTTTTACTACCAGTTCTGTGAAGGTGGCTTGGTGTGCATGGCAGGGGAAGGATACTGTAAAATCTCCAGTCAAAGGTGATATTTGCCGGTTCTCCGAACTACTCAAAATTTCTGCTACCGGTTCTCCAAAACTGATCAGAACCTGCTGCATACTATCTCTGGTCTAAACTTTCTGGCAAAATAACAGCTGCCAACCTTCCACAGTTTTTGGGGATTACCCTTGGACAGCGCTAAGTGGAAAACACCCCTTTTTATGAGATCAACAAATAATGCAAATAAGTCATAAAAATTACAAATTCCCAACTGTGTACTCTGTGCCAAACTGCAAACAAAAGATTAGAAGCATACTTGGTTATTTATTACTTTTGTTATTATCTCAGATATTTTTTTAAAAAAATCCACATGAGTTTATTTTTAGTTTTCATAAGCATATCCTGTTTGCATAGAAATATATGACTAGGATATGATAATTAATACAGTACAGGAATAATATTAGGAGATGAGATGGAAGGAAGGAATGTAAAGGATATAAAAGTTATTATATGGAGAAAAAAGGAAGAGGTGGAGGTCAGTTAAAAGTCATAGAATCAAAGCATTATGTCAAAAAGATACTAAAGAAAATGACATTCGTTGAATAATCAATCTCTATTTAGTAAATAAATAGCTAAAATAATAAACTT